TTAGATAGAACGGCCGTCGGCCAAAGTCCTACATAGCCAACGGCTGATACAGGACTATAATGGAATAATAATAGATCGATGTGGTCGAAAAAGCAACACTGCAGGTTTCACATCTGAGACTTGAGATCAGTAGCACCATACCATACTTTGTCTTGTGAGCAAAAGTCTAAGTCTATTCGTCCTCTGTCGTCATGGAAGGTAAAAGTATAGTGCGTCGTTCCATTGGTGAAGGCGAAAGGATGTAGGCCTAGTACGGATACGGACTAGTGTATCTTGGCACATTTAGTTGCAGCGCAATCGCGAAAGCATCCCAACGCCTGCCAGGTACGCGCAAGAGGATTCACAATTCGAACGGATTTGCACAATCTGGCATAGTGAAGGAGGGTCGTGCTACAGAATCAACCCGACATACCCTGCGTGGCTTCGTGCGCAGATTGTGCTCTCCAATACGTTGCGACGCGTCCGGTGTTCGCGAGCTCTGCTGAGCTTCCTCAGATTCCCTACACGACCCATCGCGCGCATCAACAGCCATGTTTACAAGCACGGGGAAGACGGCGCCGCCCCAGGCCTTCATGTCCAGCTATGCGCCACGACTGCGCAGCCACGGAAACTCGCTCATATCGCCCATTGTCCCGCCCTCGAATACGCTGCCTGCACCGCGCGTGACAAAACGTGGAACTGCCGTTCTCAGCTACGCGGAAGATGCCTACGACGATGACGACTTTGAGGATAGCGACCGTCCGCGGCGAGCAACTGGCCTTCGCAGTGTACAAAAGGCCGACCCGCTGAACGCTGATCACTCAGCGCAAATCGCTGCCTTGGGAGAGGAACTCACGGCACCAATCGACCTGCAAGGAATTTGGAGAGACTGGATGGGCAGGCCAAAGCGAACATTGTGAGTGGCATATTGGCAGGGCTTGGCCGTAGATTGAAGAGATTGTTGCAAAGCTGACATGTGGCAGAACTGAGAAGCAAGTCCTCACGCAGTCTGTCTTGCCGGTGACACTGATCCCCATTCGCATAGACATGGACATTCAGGCTTTCCGTCCCGATGCGCCGCTACCCACACCCTCAAATGCTCGCGAGTTTGGCATTAACGAGAACCTGCCCGCGTACAAACAGCCCGACGTCACCCCTGCATACAGACTCAAGGACTCGTTTCTGTGGAACCTACACGAGGCTTTGACGACACCTGATCAATTTGCAAAGCAATTCGTAGATGAATTGGATCTTCCAAATGAGCGGAAACCCTTGATAATCTCTCAAATCGCCAACCAAATCCGACAGCAGTTGGAGGAGTATGCTGGTGTTGCGCTCCATCCTCTATTCCATTCCGCAAACTCGCCTGCTGTGCAAGGAACCGGCGCCAAACCTGCGCTACCTGCATCGTCTCGCGATGGCACCTCCACTCCTGTAGTTCCGGCGACAAATGGCGCATCTACACCAATGACAAACGGCGCATCCCAAGCAGAAGGTGCGCAGACACCAGCAGGCATACCAAATGGCATCAGTGCAAAAGCTACGGCGCTACCTTCGGAAGAACTTCACAACCCGGATGACACGTACCGATGCATCGTTACACTGAACATCAACCTCATGAACCGGTTATACACGGACAAGTTCGAGTGGTCACTGCTGCACCCCCCAGGTTTTGCTGAAATGTTTGCCAAGACGACTTGCGCCGATCTCGGACTTTCAGGAGAATGGGTGAATGCTATGACGCATAGTATCTATGAAGCTGTCTTGCGGCTCAAAAAGGAGGCGTGTGAAAACGGCGGACTGGTGGGTGACGGAGAAATTGACAATGACGCTGTGGAGCCCACCATTGGCGCAGGGTGGCGGTATGACCAAGAGCATCTCTGTGACGAGTGGGAGCCAAAGGTTGAGATTTTGTCGCCGGAAGAAATCGAAAAGCGTGAAGGGGATCGCGAAAGGCAGATTCGCAGATTACGGCGAGAAACGGCACGCTTCTCGTCCACTTCAAATATGACGGGCACTCCAGCCAATGAGTTCTTCAATAACATCGAAGGACAAGAAAACATGGGCCGTGGCGAGCGTAGCAAGAAGAAGAGAAGATTCAGGAGTTTGAGCCCTGTGGGGCGCGGCACACCTGGCGCTGGAGGAGGATCCGGCTATGGTGGTCAGGACGGCGGGCTGCAAGAGGGGTACGTATTCGTCATTTGGCTACAAAGAGATTTTGATTATTTTGCTGACGTTCATGGTACAGGGAGAGGCAAACGTGGCGATGTTCACACTGCTGGGTTTGGGGAACTGCGGTTTGGGCTGTTCGAGATGGACCCAAAGGACCGCGCAGCCTGTGCAACAATTGCGGGTACCTTTACGAACGTGACAAGAAACTGCCGCCTTGGTCTGAGAATCTTTTCTATCATGAAAGGCCAACACACGAGATACCACAGTATCGGCCACAACGATGATAGGGGCCTAGGTCTATAGTAGAAAACGTATTCTTCGCCGACCGTGGTAAGCTGATGGAGTTTTTGCCTTGTCGTGGCGCTCTGTCTGGTCGCTGAGTCTGTTTTCTTGAAGCCTGATTCCCCCATTTTGAAACTTAGTCGCATTATTTTCTTGCAGCGTGGCGTCTTGGGTGGGGTGTCTGTCATACCGGTACACTTTTGTATAACACCAGGGAAATTTCATCAATACCAACAATAGAGGCTGTTGGCTGGCTGGCTGTGTCAGGGTACGGAGACTTGGGGTCAGGATGTGAAGGGCCAACCTGTTTCATTGCCACGCAGCACAAGCAGCTTTGTTTGCTTTGAGACGAATGGTTTAGTGAGATCTGTTGTAGCCTACAGCGTATGGCGTCGTCTCTCTTTTTACCGCAAAGGCTATCTACATGGTTGGAAGTATAGGTTACAGCAAGAGCTGCGCTTTGTAGGCGTGGGATGTAGCAGAATTACTTGCATTGTTATTTTGTTTCCATTTTGGTCGCGCTACATCTACTGTGTTGCCCAGAAAACACTCTGTGTTCAATGAGGATATCAGTCAAGTGAACATACGGGATGCACCCAAGAGATAGCAAGTTGCCCCTTTGCAAAATTCTGTGGTATTGTCTGCATGTACTGTAGGGTGTACGTGGACTACGCACGCCACATGCCTGCAGCATGCATTTCGCAGTCCATGCTCCAGATACGCACTTGGCACCCTTCCGTGCTTTGAACCAACTGATGAAGAGATGAATCATTAGGTCAATATGAACCCCTTATATTTTGTTTAGTCACAGAATTTAGCAAAAAGCCGTCCATGGACTAAACATACACGCCCTTGGTATCGTACATGGTAATGATCAACCGATCAGTCTCGGAAGCGACGACTGTAATGGATGCCCGTACCATTGTGTTGAAGCACATGAACAATACCAGAATAACAAGAAACGGGAGAAGACGGAAGGATGACTGGCAGGGCGCGACATAGACAGACGTTTTGGGGATAGTTGGCTGCTGCATGGAGAAGGAGCGAATGGTACGTACAGTCCCTGCGTACGTACTACTACCCAGAAGGGTCTCATGTCCAACACAGCCAAACAACTTGTCTGAAAACATTGCCCACACTGTTACATGGTGCCACCCCACAAACCCTCCCCCTATGACTCCTTTCTCAATGTGAAGCCCTCCCGAATGGACGCGGATCAGCATGGGAGCATTTCATTCGCCCATCGCTCATGAAACCCATCCAATGCCTGAAGCCATGGTTGTGGCGCAGGTGCTGAAAATTGCCTAGTGCAAGGCTATTGAGTGACGAGGGTCACAATAGCAAGGCCGACGCATCTTGCACCTTGTGCACTTTGTGTGCGACCCACGTTGCAGTTGCCATTGTGCATGATGCAGTGGCGCAATGCCTGCATCGGATTGTTCGGCCTTGCTATTGTGTTGGCTGCTAGAGGTGATGCTGAATAGCTTCTTGGCTGGAGATTTGATCATGGTGAGTAGTAGTATATAGAGTAGCGTCCTGCTGCCGCCGTCTTAGGCTATCCCAGGGAGAACGAGCTCGGCATCGAGATACTGAGAGGGCTTTTCTTTTCGGTACGTACTTACGTGCGTGACATGTTGCTTCGTTTCGAAAACGCCATTTCTTAATTGCTAACTGCCCATAGGATTTTCTCCCAACAAGGCAAATATTAGACATGACGGCCAACGGCCATCTCCGATCACTGCTTGTGTAATAAATCACGGTATCTACCGGGGCAAATCTACCGTTTAGATTTCGCGGTCGCGCAACACTTTCCGGCAAAGCGTTCAGCCACTATGTGCTGGTAGTCGACTCGCATGATCTTCGGATAATCCATCACACCAACATCACGCCACGACTCCACGATCACGGTACTCCACATCATCGTGCCAAACAACTTGGAAAAATCTGAGAACACGATTTGCATATAGGCCATGGGGCCCTTTGATGATACTGCCATGCACAGTGCAAAAGTCTCGACGCTACAACAAACTTCACAATCTCAATTCAACAACGATAACAGCACTTTGATATTGTCGTTAGAACAAATGCCAGCACCACCAGCCTACGAAACAGTCATAGATTCCAACATGCCAAGATCGAGGGCATCAAGTCCATGTCTCCATTTCGAAGGAGAAGAGGAGGACAGGGAAGTGGACAATGACACGCCTGAGGTAGTCATCAACGCTGCGACACAAATCCGCGGGCACGGAAACATCATATCCATTGCGCAAATGGACAGTGTACGGATAGCCAACCTCATCACAAGCTTGCTCAACTGCGGAGATAACATCCCAGTAGACGACGCCACACGACCTCTTACACCTCCAAGCCCAGTGCCAGTAGGAACGGCGCAGGCGCAGCGGACAACGAGAACCCAAGTCAGGGGGGTGCACAAGTATCCTAACATCAACATCACGGTCAATTGCGGTGCGACGGTACTAGGAGACCGGAACATTGTAGGGCCAGGACTGGGCGACATTGCAAGACAGATGCAGATGGCGCAGCGAAACCAGGCGGCGGCGCTACAGGCTCATCAACAACTGCAACAAAGACAAGCAGCAGCGGCAGCGGGAGTGGCGGCCGCGGCAGCAGCAGTTGCTGCTGAAGAGCAAAAGATGCCATCACCGCCAATGCAGCGAGGCGGTAGTGTGTATCAGACTACTACCTCGCCGTCGCAATACTGCAGGCAAGTGCCCTTGTCGAACGGAGTTGCAACGCCGCCGATGAGTCGAAGCTCAAGTCTGCATAGCGATGGCGAGAGCCGGAAAAGGAAAGGGGCAGATGTTTGCCAGGCGGCTGACGCAAAGAGGCGGTGTTGATTTTCTTTCGAGTGGAAGAGGAAGAAGAAGGAGAAGGAGAAGGAGAAGGAGAAGGAGAAGGAGAAGGAGAAGAAGAAGGGGATGCATGTTTTTTCGAGACTTTTTTTCTTTCTTTCGACAGCGATGTTTTTTTTCTCTCCTCTTATCTGCTGTCATGGGAAAACGAAACCAAGCGGGAGGGGCGTTGTACATATGTGGGCTCCACGTGAAGAGGGATTGGGTGTACATAGCAAAAGGCAATGGCCATGTCATACGATGATAACGAATTTGTTTGTCTGGATGATTGTTTGTTGGGCGCAAGAAAAGTAGGCGTGTTTGTGTGTGTGCTCGGAGAGTTGCACGTGATAGAGGGCCCATGTGTAGTGGTAATGGTAACCGTCGCACGGCCAGCACATGTGAGCAGGGGTGTGGCCGAGTGGGACGAGTAGAGGACGAGAGTAGCATCACGCTTCGTGTCCTTTTCACCAAGTCGCTGTTGCAACCCAGGAGTTTGCAGGGACAGGACAAGCAGCACGATGGCATTAGCAATCTGCGAGGGCTGGCTTGCGCGCACAAGGCGGCGAAAGGGCAAGGTACATCCAGTCTGCATGCACTGGCAATGCACCTCGTCGCATTGTGCTCGGCATTGCCGTGAAGGGCCTGGCATGGCTCTGCGGTCTGCGGCTGCGGGCTGGCGGACCCCTGCCTAGCCGCGTCCGCAATCGAGGGAGCACTCGCAAGCTCGACGACTACCACATGAAAGCACCTTCGCTCTGCAACCTCATTCCCTCCTTCGTCCCCGTCTCTCCCATATCCATTCGTAGCCAAGACGCCTTGCTGCCGCCATTGTCCCCCCCTCGGCCTGTTTGCACCCTACACAGTCCACAAGCGGCGAGTGCGCGACTCGGTGGCTGCACCGGACCCTTCCCCAGTGGTCCAACACCTTTACCTGGCCTCTTCCCTCCACCATCTCAACAGCTGCGTGTCGCTTGCCTGTGCAACACATCGGGCACCTAGGTTACCACGCCAGCCCAAGACAAAGGCAATCACCTCCGGTAAGCCCCTTTTCGTCTTTCACTCGTGCTTGCTCGACCTTCCTGGGCCATCGCCCTCATTCCGCCCCCTTCCCTCTCTCCCCATTGCCGCTCAGCCACACTGTTTCCACTTCCTGCCATCCACTTCAACTATTGCGTTGCAATTCGCGCATGCCCCATCCGTCGTCTAACAAATTGCCAGCAATCCACCTCACGGAAAGCGGCCACGTATTCACTAGCGGCCACTCGTTTCGAGGCATTGTACACCACACTCAGCCCATCATGGAGACATGGATGAGCTGGGCCATGTTCCTGGCCATTGGCGCTGCCGCATACTGGTACTATGCACACCAAAACAACGATGGCGTTGCGCGAGGACGGTCGACAACGGGCAAGTCCACCACCAACTCGTTAAAGGAGGCAGTCAACTGGGACTCTGAGACCAAGCCCAAGCAGAAGCAGTCCAAGGCCAAGGCTCCCCGCAAGTCGGTCAAGACGCCTGCTCAGGACGCTAGCAGCAAGGCGGCCGCTCCCAAGGCTGCTCCTGTGGATGTCGCTCCACCTGCTGCCCCCATCAACAAGGCACCCAGTGGTAAGGACGTCTCTGATATGCTGGGCGAGCGCTCTGTCTCTCCCTCTGTAGTGAGCATCAAGCCTTCCGAAAAGCCCGCCAAGCCCGTCAAGGCTCAGACACAAAAGGCCGAGGTTGTGCAGGAGACCAAGAAGCAGCGCCAGAACAGGAAGAAGGCTGAGGAGGCCAAGGCTGCGCGCGAGGAGGAGGAGAAGCAGCGCAAGGCTCTTGAGGAGAAGCAGCGCCGTACTGCCCGTGAGGCTCGCGGTGAGCCCGCCAAGAATGGTCAGCAGAGCAAGCCTCCTGCGTCGAACCCCTGGACTGAGGTTCCATCTCGTGGTGCGGTTCAACCTCCCAAGTCAGCCCCTACTGGTCAGCTTCTCGACACTTTCGAGGCTCCTGCTCCCGCTGCCGCTGCCGCTGCTCCTGCCCCTACAAACGGCAAGAACACTACTTCTGCCCCTTACAACAACTTGCCTTCTGAGGAAGAGCAGCTCAGGCTTGCCATGGAAGACTCTGCCTGGACCACTGTTCCCAAGGGAGGCAAGACTAAGCGCAAGACCGTCAACGAGGAACTTGCCGAGGAGCGTGATGACATCAACACTATCAAGGCATCCCAGCCGGCAAAGCCAGTCCGACCAACGGAGACGCTTAGGGAGAGCAAGAACCCTAGCTCACGTTACCAGATTCTTGCCGAGGAATTTAACCCCAAGACTGGCGATGAGATTGACGACTGGGCCGTCATGTGAGGTTGTTGACCACGACTAAACCAGCAATTGGTCCCAGAGACTGGTGGCCCATGCGTGTAGCCATGCAACACCTACGTCTTATAATTCTTTCCAAATTTTTGTAATGGCCATGGCCGTTAGTACAGGGGTCTTCCAGGCGTTGGGACGGCAACCTGTCAGAGGATCTGGTAGAGGAGGGAGGCAAAAATTTGGTATGTTACGTGGGAACGTCTGGGCGACGAACACGATGGGGATATTGAGGGCTGATTTTCCTACCTGGTATGCTGAATGTTTGGGAAAAAAATTATCGGCGTACGGGGTTACATTTGGAACTGTGTGCGAAACTCTGCCCTTGTATTCTCTCGTTGTATTTCACTGTTACACATGAACACCAAGTCGCGCTACCCGCCGAGATTTGGCGACAGCGCTTCTTTGAGGCTCACTAGATAGAAAAGACATGGCTTTGGTCGCTGAATGCTTCAAGTGCAGGCAAATAGGAGCCGTGTCCATTTGAGATGGCCTAATGATTACCAGGATCTATTCTCGGGTTCCGAGGAGCCGCAAGAACACTAGACGTGGTGAGCGAAGTAAGCAGACCCCGAGCAGAGGTTATACTTGGTTGACTGCGGAAGTAGGGGCAGTGGGGCGGTGGCAAAGTTCGGGATTACATAAGCTATCTGGTTT